ATATATATATATATATATATATATGACAGATACACCCATTCCCTCATCTAGTACATTGTACCTGTTCCTACATACCGGTTGAATGCTGCATCTGTAGCTGACGACTGAGCTGTGAGTAACCTGCCCAACAGTTCATCGACTACAGCCCCATCGATCGCACCGGCGGGCTACAGTGGCAAATATGCAAAGGAGTAGCATCAAACAGAGGTGTTAAGGCGCATTATCAGGAGTCTTCTAGAATGTCTTCTAGGATATGCAACCAGTGTTACTATCGAATTGGCTGTTCAGCACAAACTATGGTTGCAGTGTGCGTACACAGGAAAGTACGTGCATGCGCCTGTATTATTATTTATATGAATGTGTATGTGTACGTGTGCGTGTATGTGTGTGCGTGCGTGCGTGCGTGTGTGTGTGTGTGCAGGTAACATACTATAGCCGCGGGAGTCGCCGAGACACCGCCTGTGTTGTAGCTTGCACCGTTTCTGTTCGCATTATTGGCACCTGAGGCGGCCGCTAGTACCTGATATTTGATGGTGGTACGCGAGGGCTTAAATCAGTCAGCGTGAGTCAAAACACACCTTATAAAGACACAGAACAGCCTATTCGAGTGAACACACCTTGCACTAACTCTCAGTTCCCTGTGGCGGTGTTCACAGTGCGTATCATACAAACAAACCGATGGTGTCTCAAACGCACAGACACACAAACACACAGACATTTTCAAGCAGAAATACGACATCCACACTTCACGGCTTACATATACAAACGTAAACAGAACGTTTCCTATGTTACTCTTCATATATACAAATCGAATTGTTGTTAACCAATACCACTATATGACAAAGCGCACTCACACAGGTGAATTCTATTCTCCTATCTATATACAATATGTACATTTGTGTACTAATGATAAGTCTAACTATTATCGCAGACAGACACACCTCGCTGGCGAACATCTCCACATAATTCGAAGGAAACAACCCCACATTGCCTCTGAGTTCTCCCTTCCACCAGTCAGGATGGTTATCGTCTAAAAGTGTGATTACGTCTCCTATTTGGAAGCCCAATTCGCCTTCCTCTTGAACCTCGAATGTATACAAGGCCTTGACGCGTCTCTTACCGTCGTCCCTGAGAGCTTCGTCGCGTTGCTCAGCCTGTGGAGCTATATACAAGTCAAGCACAAGTATTAGATCATATATATATAT